AAAGTCTATTACTACACCACTAAAAAGTCAGTGTATACCGACCTAAAAAGTACTGACCTCAAATGGAGGTCGGTAATTTCCGACCTCCGGTCAGTGTTGTTAAAAGAATAAAATTAGTCGGTTTTATGCAAAATAAAGAGGGAAAAGAATTCCGACCTTAGAAGGTCGGCATTTTTCGCGAAAAAAATAAATTACAATAAAAATCAACCTTTTGATATTGGTATTAAATAAAATAAATTAATAACCATATTTTATTATTTTCAAATTAAATATAAAAAATAAAATTGAAAAATATTTTGATTTAATATTATTTAATCGACTTCCGAAGGATGATTTTATGTAAATAAAAAATTAAAAATATTATAATATCGACATTCAGACGTCGGTAAAATTTAAAAGTATGTAAGTATATCAATTTTTATTAAAATATTTATATAATGACTTTCATAAAATTAATAAATTAATATTTTTAATAAACTTTAAATAAAACGTTGTCTGAATGATGGTTTTATGTAATTAAAAAATAAATTAATATAAAGTATCGATATCATGAGATCAATATTTATCTTTTATTCAAATACCGATCTTATGGGGTCGGTATTTTTATTTTATCCATATCCAAATGCCGACATCATGAGGTGGGTATTTTTATTTCATCTAAATATCGACATCATGAAGTCAGTATTTTTATTTCATTCAAATACTGACCTCATGAGGTCGATATTTTTTCTTCATCCAATATCGACTTCATGAGGTCGATATTTTTACTTCATCTAAATACCAACTTAATGAGATTGATATTTATCTTTCATCCAAATACCGACCTCATGGTGTCGGTATTTTTGTTTCATCCAAATCCAAATACAGACATCATGCGGTCGATATTTTTACTTAATCCAAATACAGACATCATGAAGTTGGTATTTTTATTTCATCCAAAGACCGGCTTCATCAGGTCGGTATTTTTTCTTCATCCAAATACCGACCTCATGAAATCAGAAATGTTATTTCAGTTAAATACCGACCGCATGAGGACGGTTTTGCATAAATTAAAATACAAAAAATATTATAATATCGACTTTTGGAAATCAATAAAATCAAATATTATGCAATTTAATTAGTTTTAATTTAAATATTTATATCGTAGCTTTAAAAAAATAATATTTTCAATTAACTTTAAATAAATCGTCCTCCGGATGATAATTTTATATAAGTTAAACAATAAATTAATATTTAATACCCACCTTTCGATGTCAATATTATTTCGTTAATATGATTGCTTTTATTTAAAATTAATGTGATACCGACCTCATGAGGTTGATATTTTTTTATTATATCTAATTCATTTTAATAAAAGCGACATCTGGAGGTCGATTTGTTTAAAATGTTTCTATTAGTCGTATTTTTTGCTATTTAGCATAATACTAAAATTTCATTTGAAACTTGCAATTAATTGTTCAAAAAGTGTAAAAATATTTTTATCAATAAAAAGTTAGACTTCGTTATATAAATAAAAAATATTTGTAATCCATATTTATAGTGTGAAACTACATTGATATGAATCAAGATATAATTATACTTATATTTATAGAGTAATGTACAAAATTATAAGTACGTCGTCTAATCATGAAGTTAATATCTCATGTTATGATGTAGAGGTGAAGAGCTAACTCATAATCTATTCGAGTATGAAACTTGAGCTAGTATTATTATATACTTTCGATCTTGAATGTATGTCAAGTGTAGTGATCACTTCCTAATTATGATGACATGCAAAGGATACTTCATCTGAATATGAATACGTCACTCAATTATACATGAAATACATTTCAAATAAATAAATATCGTATAGATTTGATATTGATAAATTTTCATTGATCGATAAAATTAAATTTATATAATTAGGAGGTGTATAATTTGATCGATAAATTAAATTTATAAAATTAAACTTCTATTTATATATATACACACACACCTCTCGACGTCAATATTATTTAAATAACATGATTACTTAGCTTGTTATTTATCTTAAATTTAACATGAGGTTGGTATTTTTTTATTATATCCAAATACTTTTAATAAAAGCGACATTTGAAGGTCAGTTTGTTTAAAATATTTCCATTAATCATAATTTTTGCTATTTAAAATAATATTAAAATTTATTTGAAACTTACAATTAATTGATTTATTTGAAACTTACAATTAATTGTTCAAAAAGTGTAACAATTTTATAAACTTTTATAAATAACAAGTTAGACTATTTTCAAAAAAAAAAAAAGTTACGACTTCGTGGAATAAAAGAAATATTTTTATAATCCATATTTAGAGTATGAAACTATGTTGATATGAATTAGGATACAATTATACTTATATTTCTAGAGTAATGTACAAATCTATTAGTCTGTCGTCTAATCATGAACTTAATATCTCATGTTATGATGTAGAAGTGAAGAGCTAGCATATAATTTATTCGAGTATGAAATGTGAGATAATATTATTATATACTTTCAATATTGAATGTATGTCAAGTATAGTGATCAGTTCCTAATTATGATGACATGTAAATAATACTTTATCTGAGTACGAAATACGTCGATTAATTACATATCAATTATATTATCAATAAAGAAATAATATCGATGATCAATTTAAGGAGATTTATATACTAGATTTGATATTGATAAGCTTTTATGAATCGATAAAATTAAAGTTATATTAGGAGGTATATAATTTAAATTGAGTTAACTTCTATGCACTGTCAGTGTATACTTTTTACACTGGCACATATTTTTAAGGCAAGACTCTTTTTTTTAATTAATATTTTTATTTTATAAAATCTAAGTATCAAATACAGTAATGTATGATAATTATGATTCTATTTTCATTTTAGCTTAGTTTAGGATTCTTTTTCCTTGCGAAATAAAATTACCATGTTTGTTTTACCGGTGTACTTTTACATATTTTTTTTTGCTTCTCTTATTCAATAGCATTGAAGCAAATTACGAGCATCCACCATTGAAATATTTTAAAGAGAAACTATTATCAACATAATTTATAGTAACTATTTACTGGTTATTTATATCTATTTCAAATTTACAGAATTCGTGTAATCATGTCCATCGCCATTAATTTTCAAACATTCACACTATAACATTTTGTTTGTCTCTTCACCAATTCCTCTGTTTTCTTTCTTAATGGAGTTTGATGGATTCTTGCCCCTTTTTTGAGTAAACTAATATCCATTAACTATATGTTGTAGGATAAAGAAAGACTTTCTATGGAAGACATCACATTAAGTGTATTGCACAGTATTCACAGAGAGATATTGAAGATGTTGCCATGAAGAAGCAAAAAGGTTAATTTCTTTATTAATCTCTGATTGTTCTTCTGAACTTGTGTTGTATTACAAAATAATGTAATGCAATTTCAAATGTGAATTATTTTTGGACTTTAAATCTAAACTAGCAATAAGAACTATGACGCCAAGCTATATGAACCTTCATTCACCATATTGCTCCATTTAAGACATCTCTAGCTCTTTTAAACTCTTGATAGTTATGTAATATTGTTGTACACTCTTTCGTAGACATAGAACTGATATTGAAAATTCTTATGAATCATTTGTAGTTTGTCGCATGAAGGGAAAAAATTTGTGAATGTCATTTATTTATTTGAAAAAAGAACTATACTGTTTAGGTTCTTTTTAGCAAAATATTATAGAAGTTTTTAATAGATGTATATCAAGTAGTTCTTCCGTTTATTTTGCTACTAATACAATTTTATGTTCTCTACAAATATTGTGTATGTTGCTAGTTACAACTATGACAATCATTAAGATATACAAAATTAATTATTGTGAACCTTATCAGAAAATATTCTAAAGTATCAAACTTGAATGAATAGTCTAAAATGTTTTGCACTTTTTGTAACGAAATAGAAATTGAAGTACTGTTTTCACCTATTTGTGCAACGCTTCAATAAATATCAAAGTGAAAAAAATATTTACTTATGAAAATTTTATGATTGAAAATGTAGAAGAAAATCGTAACGTAATCTATTTGATAAATAAAAACAAAGGATCAAGTAAATAAACGCACAAATCAATAATTTAAAGCTCAAAACATGAGTTAAAATGATAATTGTGCCACGAGTACACAAAACTTGTACTTTAAAAGTTAAAATTATTTTCTACATTAAGAAAAATTAAGTACAAAATTCTAGATATTGTCTCTCCATTTGTTTTGAAGTTCTATATATTAAACTTAATGTTCATTAAATTCCGTAAAAGTGCACCCCATAAAATTACAAAGTTGATATTTTATTTAATAAGAAAAGAAAATCTTAAACAAATGGGTAAAATAAAAATAGAATTCTATTTACGTTATGTTACTATATTTGATATTTATATTTTATAAAATAAAAATATTAATAACAAAAAAGAAAATTGCCTAAAAAGTATATGTTAGTGTAAAAAAAATACACACCAACAATGCATAGAAGTTAAACTCATTTAAATTTATAAAATTAACTTGATAGATAAAATAAATTTATTAAATTAAACATTTATAATCAATCTAATTTTAAAATCTCATCTTTTAATCACAACCGTCTATCCTTTAGCTAAAACCTAAGATTAAATTCTAACCCTCCATCTATTATTAAACCAATGTTTGAGATCAAATCCTTTCTTTTTCCCCAAAATATCTAATCCCTAAAATTCACTCATTCTCTCCCTCTCTTCTCCAAAATTCAGCCGCCCCCTTCTCCTCTCCAATTTTCTCGGCGAACGCCAGAGGTGGCGACGCTCCACCCTCGGTTCCCAGCCGCCGCTCCTCCTCCTTGCCTCCACCTCGCTCTTCTCTTCCTCTTCTCCACTCCAGCGAGCTGCCACGCAGCTCCGACCAGCAGCGACCAGTGAGAGAGGGCAGCGCTGCAACCGGAGACAACCGCCAGCAGCCAGCGAGAGCCGGAAAACTCTATTTTCTCTCTTCTCTTTTCCGGCGAACCCCACCAGCAGCAGCGACCGTCGAGGACCACCGCGAAGCAGCAACTTCGGTAAGGCGCCATCAGTGAAAACCTGCAAACAATAGCTCCAACAGGCAGTAGCAGCAACTCCAGTGAGCTCAATATCAACAGCAGCAGCAACTGCTCAAAACAGCTCCGGCCAATCGAGCTCCGGCGAAGTCCAAAATTTTGGATCGGTGGAAGACGGATCTGTCTCCGGTATTTTCTTTCCATCAACTATTACTTCATCTATTCACCTTACGTTGTTACTATTTTGATTATATATATATATTCTTTATGATTGCCTTAAATCATAGAAATTCGTTGATTATGTATGCAAAAAAAAATATATATGTACTTTGGGATGGATTTCTAATTGAACTTGAACCTGTAATAGCTTGATAATCTTTCTGAGATTTATTGATGATTGATCTTAATTTAAATTCATTTGTCCACTAAATCTTTGCATTTTTCTCTACTTAATTGATTGTACACCTTTTGAAATTAGAATAAATTGTTGCCTAGCTTAATTACGGCATATAATGCATTGAGAAACTGGTCATGAAATGCTGTTATACATTGAATTATATAATGTGGTTTAGTTGGTGAATATAGTGTTCTTATTAAGTTAAAATCAAACAAATTAGACTTTAAAAGTTGTTAGGTTCTTCAAATAAGTTAAAATATGTAATGTGATTTAGTTGGTAATTAAAGTGTTGGTATTAACTTAAAACTAAACAAATAAGACTTTAAAAGTTGTTATATGTAATGTGATTTAGTTGGTGAATTTAGTCTTGGAATTAAGTTAAAACTAAATTAATTAGACTTAGAAAGTTGTTAAGTTGTTTTTATAAGTTAAATTATATAATGTGGTTTAGTTGGTGATTAAAGTGTTGATATTAAGTTAATATAATGTTGTTATTAAGTTAAAACTAAACAAATTAGACTTTAAAAGTTGTTAAGTTCTTCAAATAAGTTAAAATGTGTAATGTGATTTAGTTGGTGATTAAAGTGTTGATACTAAGTTAGAGCTAAACAAATTAGACTTTAAAAGTTGTTAAGTTGTTTTAATAAGTTAAATTATATAATGTGGTTTAGTTGGTGAATATAGTGTTATTAAGTTGAAACTAAACAAATTAGAGAGAAAGAAATAAGAGAATCTTTGAAGGAATTGAATGCCTATTAAGTGTAGCTCTATTTAGTTTTGTATTTTTGGTATGGAGGAAAAACTCCAGCTTGTTGAGTTTGCTTGATTTCGTGGGTCATATAAAGCTTATGCAATGCGCTACTGTTATATATAGTTGACACCTTCTTTGTGTTTTATGAATGAGTTTTCTGATATATTAAAAAAATGAATTGAATAGAGTAGGAAAATGAGGATTATGAAGATGGCTGTAGAAAAATGGACATATGTGGAAGGTGAAGGTTTATTGCCAATTTTATTGTTTTCCACTGCTTTTGGCTGAGGTGTATACATTTAGACACAGAGTTGTATATTGTGGCAAAATTATGCGGTTTTCGCATGTATTATGTTGTCATATGGCTTCAAGATTGGATAATGAACCTAATCAAGTCATAGTGCAACTCAATCGTATTAATGATAGGCTTTAAATCCTGCAAAACAAGTTAAGGCGTATTGCGTTTCACTGTTTATTTTTTAATTTTCAATGGACATTGAGCATCTGATAGGGTGGGTATTGTTTGGTGTGAAGAAGGAAAGCAAGTTCTTTTGTTTTCTTCCTTTGAGATAAAAAAGGGAAGAAGTGCTTGGATTTTGCTAAACTGTTCGAAACTCATTTTCTCTCATCAACTGTATTAAACATTGATATTTTGGTGTTCATGGTGGGAACTTGTCATGGAACTTGTTTATTACATGGATTTTGATCTTTGTGGAAATTGAGAAATGGAACTCTTTTTGTCACATAAATGTGTACCCGAACACCTAAAATTTGGCTACTTGAAGCTCCAATCCATTTATGGGTGATAAATGCGAACTTTGCTGCTTTCCCTGGTAGTTCACTGACATCCCCAAATAAAAGAGAACCTGATGATTGGATACAAATTCAGGTCTAAATATTCCCTGGTATCTTGATTTTTTGGGCAATTCAGCACAAATTTAACTAATAGTGAACAAGTTGATGAATTACTGTTATCTAAGCATTCTTTAGCAGTTTAGCTATTATTATTCTTAGTGTATTACTATAAATTCTATTCTATTTATTTTCTAGGGATTGCATGAGTACCCCTTAGACTATGACCGAAATTTCAGAGACACACCTTAACTAAACTAAGGTCCTGTTACCCCCAAACTTATTTTTTGGTAATTTTGTGCACCTTTTGTCTTACGTGGCACACTCCGTGATTCCACGCAATTGAGGCGCGTGGGAGATATTTGGATGCCACGTAAGCCAAAAAGGTGCACAAAATTATATAAAAAAATAAATTAGTTCAGGGGGTAATAGGACCTTTGTTTAATTAAGGTGTATCTTTGGGATTTCGGTCATAGTCTAGGGGAATACTTGTGCATTTTCCCAATTTTCTTTAATAATTTATCTATTTGTTTTCTTTTGAATTAAATATGTAGACCTTTTATTCATTACGATTGATTGTAAAATCTCGATATCTATATTGAGATGCTTATATGCTGTTCATATTGTTTCAGAGTTTTGAAATGGAGGATACACCTAAAGCAGAAGATCAGTTGCCTGAGGGAGCATCAGAAAGTGCGCCTCAGAAGATGCTAGAAACCCGCGAGGAGATGCTTTCTAGGCATAGGTACTTTATAAGGCCCTTAGGGAAAACGTTGCCTTTGGTTTTGCTCTCCCCTAGCTGTATTTTTAATATTCTCTATACAACCCTCCACATGATTATTACATTGTTCTGTTTACCTGTCATGCTCTACTTGTATCCCTACTCCCTAGCACATTTATTTGGAAATGCTATTGACTTTGTAATAAATTGCTCTTACTGATTAAAATATGAGCTTATGGAAGGATTATTGACTTTCTATAATGCTGATCCGCCTAAGAAAGAATTGGAAGTTTTTCTAATTGTAGAAATGAATGTTACAAGAGCTAGTAATTAAGATTGGAAGTCTATATGAGAAGATGGCTTATAACAGGCTTCTTGGATCATGCATAGGCTTTCAATTTTTGATTTGTGATAAATAATCGTGTTACCAATATCACAGATGTCTTGTAACAACCTTTTCAGTTATTGAATGTCCAAGCATTGATTGTGAAGCACTTGCTTAATTTATCACTCCAAATTAGTTTATTGGGAGCTTAATTTTTTGTTGACATATCATATTTTGATGTATGCAGGAAAGAAATTTCTAAGCTACAGGACAAAGAAATTGCTATGAAAAAGGCAGCAGCTAAAGGAAGCAAAGCTGAACAGAAAGCTAAGAAAAAACAAGTGGATGAAGAAGTATCTAAACTTTCTGCAAAGCTCAAAGAAGGACATGCTGGGGAACTTGCTTCTTTAGGCTACGGTGATGATAGTAATAATGATAATGGAAAGGATAAAGGGAATCTGGATACATTGGTGAAGGCCATTGCTGGGGTTTCTGTCAGTAGTCAAACTGACCATTCAAAACCCAGCAAGAGCGTGAAGAGACGTGAGAAAAGAGCTCAACAAGAGGCAGCCAGAGAGCAGAGAATACAAGAAGAGCAGAGTAATATCATAAGTGATCGGGTTATTGAGAATGAAAAGTTAGAAAGAAAGCTTGAGCCTCTTGGATTGACTGTTAACGAAATAAAGCCTGACGGACACTGTCTTTACCGAGCTGTGGAGAATCAGTTGGCCATCCACACTGGCGGTTCATCTCCTTATTCATATCTTGAACTGCGACAGATGGTGGCAGCTTACATGAGGAAACATGCAACTGACTTTCTCCCTTTTTTCCTCTCTGAGAATGCAGAAGAAGGAGAATCAGATGATTCTCTTGTAGGAAGGTTCGAGAATTACTGTAGAGAAGTTGAGTCAACTGCTGCATGGGGAGGACAACTTGAGCTTGGTGCTTTAACTCACATCTTAAAGAAACATATAATGATATTTTCAGGGTCATTTCCTGATGTGGAGATGGGAAAGGAATACAAATCCAGCAGTGGCTCTGGCTCTGGCTCTTCAGCTTTCAGTATAATGCTATCTTACCACAAGCATGCTTTTGGGCTTGGTGAGCACTATAACTCACTTATTCCCAGTTCAGCTTAATAGGTTTGATTTTTATTGTGGAAAACAAATGTTCACAGCAACATGATAGCTCAACTGATATCATGATTTACAGCAAAGCAATCTAGCAACAGTTTCATTTGTGTCATATGTTTCGAGTTCAATGCGTTTTGTCTTTCTACAATGTTACTATAGGACTAAATCCTAACTTATGGATTTGGTTTTCTGTTTTGTGATAACTCTTACTTCCTTTCGTTCGTATTCCAAATTAAGAGTTTCTCTGATTTGTTTTCAGTATGCACATTCATTGTCATTTTTTTGGTTAGTGCGCTGTTATCATGCTTGGTTGCAATGACCATATATGATAGACTGATATTCTCTCGTATTTCATCCCTACACACCCCCAGGTTCTGGTAGAGTACCAGGAAACGGTCTGCAGGTTCCTCTATGCTTTTTACTTGCTCACATCTTGGACATGCGAACTTGTGAGCAAGTATATCTCTACTTGATTTGTGTTTCAGTTAGAGGTGTCAGTGTATTTACGAGCATCCTATCGGAGAGTGAAACAGAACATGAAACTATGCGTAAGCTCCATTTTTAATCTGTTAGGATGTTCTGTGAAGGGAAATTATTAAGGAAGAAGTTAGTCTGCAAACTTGAGTTAGTGGCGATAGGAAGAAATTCCTCAAGGAGGAACAAAATAAATCAGTTCCTCTCTTTTAGTGCCTAAAGGAAGGAAATTGCCATCTAAGTTAAAAAGACCCTTTATCTGTCTTGGCAATGAGTTAGGATCAGTATAAATTTTGACATTGTTGATAGAATGGCAGTTTATCAGCCGTTTTGTTGGCTTCTCTGAAGCAATGATCAGTCTCGATATCGTATGTGTAGACTAGCTTCCTGATTTCTTCAATTGTTTCTATAATCCTCCAAGGAGTGGGTGGACCAAATATTTTGGAGAAGTGAATCGATTTCAGCAGTTATATTGTTATATATGCCCATTGTTGTGCACCATTTTAGACCTAAGAGAAACGCACTAGGTTCAACTGCGTTACTGGTTCCATTTCCAAGTAGGACGATGAATACAATTGTCGTTTGAATCTCTCAGTCACAGTGCCACCTCCGCCACTTGAGTTTCCATCCGAGTTCAATTTGACACAAGGGTTAAGATGGTCTAATCCACTTGATAGGAACAGAGGGTGGTAGCAGCAAAATTGGTTTCCACGAGTTAAAGGGAAACTCTTCACTCTAGTATGTATGTCTGTGTTTATAAAAACTATAAATGTGTCGAAGGCATGTATATATGTCAAAATATTAAATGTGTGCTTAATTGTAATATGTAAAAATGGTCAAATTCCCCATGTACCATCAAAATTAAACTAGTCTACTGCTAGACATGTTAGCACAGATTGTTAGGACAAAAACATAGAGGGTTGTTCCGGACATAATTTTGTGTATTTATTTAATAATAATGAGTTTTAAAAAATAATAAATAAACTAAGCGTGACATTAAATTATCTGAAAAAATAAATGTTGAGAGTGGGATTTGAACCCACGCCCTTTCGGACCAGAACCTTAATCTGGCGCCTTAGACCAACTCGGCCATCTCAACATCTATTATTATTAAAGCCAAATAGAAAGAATTTAACAAGTAATTTCTCTAGATAGTCACCCATGTTTGAAAAATTATCTAGAAATATCACTTGTGTTTGTTTTAGGACTACAATATCACCAAACTTCGTTTATTTTCCTCAAAACAAAAAATACATTATCAAAATACATTATCTCTCTCCTATTAGGATGCCATGTTACATTGTTTCACCATTTACACTTCAAAAATAAAAGAATCAAAAGAAAACTTGAATTTTACCTCGTGGCGATTTCTTCGGTCGATATTAAAGGTATAAAGCGACTCAAGAAACAGTTCCTAATGCAAATTCGTTAATATATTCCTCGAAGAACCGAAGGAAGGCACATTTTTTCTTTTGAAGAATCGGAGGAACTCATATTACCATTCTTATGTAAATGTTTTAGTGGGTATTATATATAAACACTATATTTATAATCTTCATTGATATATGTACCATAGATATAATGTCTTCCTAATTAATCGCCATTTTAATTAAAGTAATAATCAAATGTCTCTTTATTATTTGAGTTACCATATACCTATTGAACAAAATTGACCGAGTTCGATCAATCTCATCCCTAAAGCTCAAAACAAAAGTGAAATATCAAATAAGAAGATTAAATTGTTCTTTCTCACAAAGATATTTAAATACATACAAATAGCATCTTGGATTTAGCCTTCAAGTAACTTTATATATATATATATATATAAACTTTCATAGTATTGATTAATTATATTCAAAATAAATAAGGACTTAATAAAGTTATAATGTAGACTTTTAAAATAAGGTATACATATATGTATAGGGTAACTAATTTTCCGTATAGATTGCAATTTTTTTCCCGTCATTTGTTTTAGCTTATGTTGCTAATTAAAGTATTTAAGGAGATTGGATACTAAATCATAAGAAAAATTAAGCAAAAATGGTAAAGGTTGTAATAAAGTTACCAAATGTTCCCTTCATTTTCTTTTATTTATTTATCTAATTCTAATTTGAAGTATAATTTTAGAAAAAACATATCATTTTTGCAATCTTAAACTAAAAAAAAGATACATAAAATTTATTAAAATATTCTTCATTTAAAAAAAGAAAAACTTTTTAACACAACAAATTAAAATACAGAGAAATAATTCATGCTAGGTTGAAATTTAACGTAAGTGATGATGGAAGTAATGGGTGGTTAATTAAAGGACAGAGGAAAAAGGAATTGCAGTGGCAGTAATTAGTAATTGCACAAAATTCACGTGGCAATGTGTCTCATCTTGAAATTTGATCATCATTTTTCATTCGATATTTAATATTTATATTCATAAAAATTAATTTATTCAAATTTACTTCGTATAAGACTTCATTTAGAAATAGTACTTCTATCACTAATTTTTCTTATACTTATAACCCTCACTTAAGACTTCAAATACAGTAATTTCATCTGCGGCACCACGAATAAAGAAACTTGCAACTGCATATATCCAGAAGCATATCTATAGGGGTGTCGGGAATTCATTCTCCCTTCTTTAGATTATACATAAGTGTTATATTGTTTTTAAAAAAATAATATTTGAATATAGATTCGTGAATCCATATTCAATGTATCATATAATATAATAATAATTGAATGCATTTCAAAAATATACATTTAAATCTTCTATCTATTTTATTTCTAAAGTAACACCTCTATTAGTTATACTTCCGGTTATATTCCAATCAGTTTGCCCCCTATTAGTTAGTCTACTGTTACCTCATCAATCCCAAACAATATTTGAAGGACAGATATTTATGCAGAAAATGAACTATTGGTCAGTCACAAGTGTCTGGACATGCTACATGAGACATGCAGATAATGATTATTATATAACGTACAAAACATGATCTAACAATAAACATCATCCAATTCATTTCACTAATTTAATACTTAATTTTCTTTTTAGTTTGTCTAAAAAAATAATTTCTTTTTTATAACATTTTAAATTTAATTTTCTATTTCACATATTTAAGATCATAAGATAAATAAAATTTTATATAAATTTAATTTAAAATTATAAAATTAAATTATTTTAAATAAAATTTTATTTAAATTAAATTAAATCATTCTTTTTAAAATGACGAAAGTACACTACATGTCTATAAATGCAAACTACACTACATAATGTTAGTCTATGAATTGTACCTTGCTATAGAATTATCTTAATGTTTTCCTAAAAAGAGATCTTCATCCAAATTAGGAGTCCTAATCATGGTGTATTTTCATTATTAATAGTAATTAAATACGACATAAAAAGCATATATTTTTATTTATTATTTATATAGATTTAGGTTAATTCGCATGAGATGATCTGAATCAATTGTTTCTTTTAGAGATGGCAAATGAGTGAATTGAATCGAATATGAATAGCTTGAGTTAAAATGGATTAGATTACAATCCACTTATGATTACATGTGAATTTGATCAAATATGATTTGAATAAAACGATTGTAACATACATTATTCTCCTAAAGACAAAAAAATATTAAATAAAAGCTAAATTGTTAATACCTCAACTGTTAGTAACCCCAATTCTTTAATTAAAAAAAAATTACTTTGCAAACTCTAACCGTCCTCTCCCCCCCTCTCCCCCAAATATTAGAAAATGTTCTTTTTTTTTAAAAAAAAAAAATTAAATTAAAAAAAAAAAATTTCAACCAACCCCCACGGCCATCCGCCAGCCCAACCCCAATTTTTTTCCAACCCTATCCCAGGACACCTCCCACCCACCCCAAGAAAAATTTACCCCACCCCACCTATTTTCTATTTTCAAAAATAAATACTGCAATTAAGAATTTTTTATAACTGAGTTATGAGTTATATATGAGTATATATGGATTCTCATGCTTACTTATTTTATTTATATTTGTGTGAGCTTAAATAAGTTGAAGTTTATATTTATCCATCTAAAAAAAATATGAGTATTTCATTTACTTAAATATAAAAAAAATGAATCTATTTCACTTATATGGACTGAAATTATCACCTCTGGTTCCTCCACAAAGTGTATAAAGCTCATATGTTTTGTTCTAAATCACGTTCCTCATTAACATTGGTCAGGAGCTTTACGGGTGTGCAAAAATCAAACTAATCGATAAATTGGATCAAAATTTTTTATTGGTTCATTGTTATTTGGCAATTGAGTTAATGAATTTTTAATAATTTATAAAAAAATTATCGGATTATTTATTTGATATTAAATTTTTAATATTGGATTATTGAATAAACCAATAATTCATTAAGACCATAGTGCTTTACTACTTTTTCCCTACATAAATATTAAATATCGGACTCATACCTTACTGGTAATTGTTTTTTCTTTTCATCCTTCAATTCACACTTCATCATGATTTTATATTTACAACTTTGCATTATACAAAATCTTAAAACCTAAAGTAAGAATCATATTCCTCTTAATTCATTTCTATTTGTGTTGCACTTTTATAGTTCTTTTCATGTTAGTATTGTTTCTATTTCGTGAACATTCTATAAACTTATATAATTGTCTTATCACGCCCAATCATTGAACAAGTCATATATTGATTTTATAAGCATTATTTTATTGGTGAAATCAAAAATCAAAATTTAACAATAAATTAAAAACCGATGAAAAATATCTTATCTTCTATAGTAATGTCGCCCTGTTGAATA